AGAATTTTATTTATTTATTTACTTACTTACTTATTAATATTTTTTTAATAATTGTTTGATGGAACTTTATTTTATTTATTTACTTTTATGTGGTGTTGAGGATCAAACCCAGTGCCTCACACATGCTAGGTAAGCACTCTACCACTGAGCTACATCCCCAACTGAGAAATTTATTCTTTTTCTATTTAATATTTATTTCTTTTAGTTGTACACAGTACTTTTGTTTTTGTTATTTATTTATTTTTATGTGGTGATGAGGATCCAACCCAGGGCCTCGCATGTGCTAGGCTACCGCTCTACCTCTCAGCCACAACCCCAGCCCCCCCGGATAAATTTATTCTTAAGAAATATACATGTGCAAGCTGCAGGTATACTTCAGTGGCAGAGCGTTTCGGTTTAATCCCCAAAACCAAACAAAAAAAGAGAGAGAGAGAGAGAGAGAGAGAGAAAGATAAATATACCTATGCTCCTGAATTTATGTACAAAGCTATTATGTATAATAATGTTTATCAGAGTTAAAAATTAGTCAGTCTCAATGTAAATGTCCATGAACAGGTCTTTGTTTTTTTTTTTTTTTTTTAATTTTTTATTGTTGGTTGTTCAAAACATTACATAGTTCTTGATATATCATATTTCACACTTTGATTCAAGTGGGTTATGAACTCCCATTTTTACCCCGTATACAGATTGCAGAATCATATCAGTTACACATCCATTGATTTACATGTTGCCATACTAGTGTCTGTTGTATTCTGCTGCCTTTCCTGTCCTCTACTATGAACAGGTCTTTGGGTAAAGGCATTCTGGTGCACCCACACCCATACTATGAATATTGTGCAAAACCGTTAAAAAGAATAAGGTCAAGGCTAGGGCATGGATCAGTGGTAGAGCATTTTCCTAGTATATTCGGGGCCCTGGGTTTGATTCTCAGCAGCACAAAGAAAAATAAATAGTTCTGTTTTACTGATATGGAAGTATGTACATTTTCCCTTGTAGAAAGAAGAAATCAAAACTACTACTTACTGGAATAGAAAAACATAGTAACTAAAGTATGATTCCATATGTGTAAATGTAAATAAGACTATCTGTGAGTTTGTATGTGTGTGTGTGTGTGTGTGTGAGAGAGAGAGAGAGAGAGAGAGATAAATGCCTATGACTTCATAGAATAAATATCTACCAGCACATGCCTCAGTCTCTTAAGTGATTATCTCTAGGAGAAGCAATAAGATTGGAAGAGATTAATAGGAATTAAATACTTTTCTCTATTTAATCCAGTACTTTATGAAATTTTGGGGGGTACAAAATTCATGTATTACTTGAGTGATCAAATAAATAAATAATAACTTAAAACATTTTATTTTAAAAAAAATGGTTGAAGCATGTAAGGCTCATATAGTCGAGGTCTATTTTGCTGCTTAACGCGAGCCTTTATTTGATAGTTCAGGAAACCTAAGAAGATTCCTCAATTCACAAATCCCCAGGACCAGAGCACTTTTTGCCTGGACCTCAACCCCGGGCACCTGGCGGAGAAGAGGTTTCCACTAGGGCCCCATGCAGTGTGACCTTCACACCCTGGGAAAAGAAACTCCGGCCGCTCTCTCCTTACCTAATATAGGACAAGAAAGAGACCATAAGGAAAGAAATGGCTTTTCCAAAGGACAAGGAGGAAATTTTGTCCCCTTGAGGTACAGTGAGAGAATTTACACCTCTGGAAGACTTCCTAGGGCTGATCATGTTAGTGAAATGCTGACAGCAAAGCTCCAAAGATACTAGATTCATTTGCTTTATCAGAAGAAATATTGTACTGGTTCCAACGCTCTTAAATCAGACAATTAGCTCCAGTGTTACTTGTTTCAGAAGCCTAAGTAAGAAAGAAACCTACTTAGGAAAAGCAAATTATAACCTTTCAAAATCTAAGTTAAGGGGTAGTTATTTACCAATTTATTTGCAACATAACTGACATAGGATTCCTTTCATTAAGAGTTTGTTTGATACAAATGCTGGAACTAAATCGTGAGAAGCTGTTCTGATCATTGAAAATCAATCAATAATGAAGATGAATCATCTCTGAAAGTATAATCTGTCTTTGGGCATATGTAATTGAATTTTCTAAAGAATTGATTCAGATATAGATCTCAAGGTAATATATGTTATAAAAGCAAAAAAAATGCACTTTACCAAATAACCTGGAACATTTTCACTTGATTAGAATTTCCATAAGTTTCCAAGGAATATTGAAAAATTCATACATCATTTCCATACACATTTATCGTCTGTGGGGATATTTAAGGACTCAGACAAAGGTATTTTCCTTTGGCATCAGCAGGGACCAAATTATCATCCTTTAGAAATACCCTGTTATAAATGTTCATTCTTACGTAGGTTAAGATCTTTTTTTTTTTTTCTTTTAGGTGCAATTTTCTGAAATTTGGGGTTTTGGTGTTTGTTTGCTTCGATTTGCAGTGCCTGGATCAAACCTATAGCCTCAAACATATTAGGCAAGCCCCACCCCCACATGTTGAAATTTTGTTCCTTAACTTTTCATTTTTTTAAAAAAACAAGAGATTTTTTTTCTCCTTACCAGTTCCAAATTGATGGTATTCATCTTCTAATGATTCCAAATGAATAGATTTTTAAATAATATTCTGTTCTTTCTTATGTAATGCATAATTTAATGCATAATTGATGTAGAAAATTTAGAAAACATGGATAAAAAAAAAGAAAGGCAATGAAGATGATCTGGAATTCCAACTCAATCACTGTAAACATTGTGCAATGTATGCTTTCATTGTTTTAAAATGTAGATGACGCTTTTCATACTAAAATTATAACGTGTTCAGTTTTGCCTCATGTTTTTTATTTAACAATAACTCAAGATTATCTCCACAAGCTGGGCGTTGTGGCACATACCAGAAATTCAGGAAGTCAAGACAGGAGAATCGCAAGTTCAAGGCCAGCCTCAGCAACTTAGCCAGGGCCCTAAGAAACTTAGTGAGACTCTCAAAATAAAAAATAAAAAGGACTGGGGGTGTAGCCCAGTAATACAGTACCTGAGTTCAATCCTCAGTACCAAAAAAAAAAAAAAATGAAAAGAGAAAAAGACCAAGGCAGTAATGAACATCTTTGTTGTTAAATCCTTTTTCACATTCATAAAACTGCTACATCTTTGAAAGCACATAGTCACACTATTTAGGCCCTTCTTCTAACATTGAGCTAATTAGAGATAAAGAATGATTTCTGTTGGGATTCCCTAGAACAAATAAAACAAAAACTTACTTGCTTTTTTTTTCCAAATTAGGAGTCTAATGATATTTGTATAGAGAAACTTATTTAAATTTTAAACTTTCAGGTGGTTTAATATTTATTCCAGGTGTGTTTAAGATATTTTGAAAATCAGCCATTGAAATTAACATGATTGTATTGAAGAATGTGTTGTTGTTAACTAAGTGTGTTTGTTCTAATCATAAAGCAGCATCTCCTATTGCTTCTCAGATGTCTCTGTTTTCTAAAAAAAAAAAGCATGCTCTTTGCCTGGCCAGACTGCTGCTTAGCATTCTTGATACTTATATTGCGTAACGACAGCATTTTTGATTAATGATTTCAGGGCAGGAGGGGGATTATCAGCTAAATAAAATAGCCCAGGTCTGGATTTAGAGCCATGCTCCATCTTGGCCCTAGACCACATAGAATTAAATCATAAGTTCTGCATGTCTGCCCTTTGGAAATGAAGAGAAATCTCACATGACACTTGGGTTGATATAAAAAGACACTAAACCACATGACACAGAAAATACTTAAGGAAAAATTTCAACTGTGAATATCCATTGCAAATCCCCCACCAAGCCAGTTAGTGATTGGGGTGGTAGATGAAGCAATCGATGGGCTACCTTCATTGGTTAAGAGGCAGAGCATTAAATTATGTCAAGGCAGCAATAGCAGAGTGCCCATCTGGAGAAACTGCTGATAAAATGTAAGGAGAGGGGTGGGGGTGGGGAATAAAACCAAGGGAGTGTTTAAAGTGAGACTAATTGTCAATTTTATGCATTTCACATACTGAAGATGGATAGGTTCTTTCTTTTAAGTTTTTTAAACAGTTGAACTAAGACAGGATTCCTCAACTTCAGCACTGTGGATATTTTAGATCAGATTATTCTTTGTTGGGGGCTGGAAGTCCTGTGCATTGTGAAATGTTCCCCAGCATCCCTGGCCTCTGCCCTCTTGTATAGATGCCAGTAGAACCCCTTCCACAGTTATGACAACCAAAAATGTCACAAAATTGTCCACTGTTGAGAACTACTGGATTAAGAGATCATTATCCTGAAACACTGCAGACTGGGGCCAAAAATCATGTCATGTGCCATTTTATTTATAGATCAGTGTGGGTGGAAGTAGTGCCAGCCATCTTCAAGCTGTTAGGCTAGACTCAAAGCTCAGTGTAGACCTGCACTCTCTGATACCATGTATCTGTGCAAAAATGCATCCGTGTGAGAATGGCACCACGCCTCTCCTGTACCAGAATGTCAGTGCTCTGCCTTCTACGTCCTCTCTCCTATGATAGCAGTGAAAGTGTCCTTTCTGTTGTTGAATGCATTGATTGAAAGACTCTCAATGTACTTGGAAAGGCATTTGGAAGGTAAGTATTAAACCAAATAATCCTGACCCTCTGTCCCCAAAGGGATCTTCTAACAAGCTTTAGGAGATCTCAGGCTACGCACTGGCCACATGCTAATACTTTCTACCACCAAGCTCACTTCACAAGAATCACCCCTAAGTAATTTCCACTCTTCTCTGTTCTAAGTCTATTTTGACTTAACTTCCTTGCCCTTATTCCCCCTTTGGCTGGTTTAACTAACTTTATGATTTATTCCTCATAAAGTTAATCAGTTCCCTGCCTTTTAAAACCTCTCTGGCTACTGCTAAGCTACCATCTTTCCCTAAAGTCTCCCCATGGAAAGTTTGCATTTAATAACGGAAGTTGCCAACATCTTGACCTCTTTCAGATATGACAATGGATGATGTTCGGGAATACGAGAAAAACATGCATGAACAAACCAACATAAAAGTTTGCAATCAGCATTCCTCCACTGTGGATGACATAGAGAGCCATGCCCAAACAAGTGTATGTAGAATTTTTAAAACATGTTGCCCACCCTGTATGAAACCAACACGTAAACTGATCTTTGAAATACTGCAAATGCTCTTTTCCCAACCGTCCACAAAATCATGTCATTGCCCAAGAGGCTGTTGGTGAAGATGCTGAGCTGGGTCTAGAGCAGGCAGTGTCGCCTCTCTCTTCCAGACATTTCAATTCTTTAAAGTTGCTTGACTTGGGGGTTGTTTTGGTCATAAAACCAAGAACATGGAGAGTGGAAACATATTGTGATACTAGTGAAATGGCCTGCACTGAACATAAAAAGAGCACAGGAGTAAAAATGGGTGTCGTATGTAAACTAGAACAACATGTCAGTAACTTTTCAAAACATAGTTAACACTTACTTGTTCATTCAGAGGAGGGCTTCTGGCTCATCTGCTATTTTGGGTTTCTTTACATGTGCTTTGAAATGCTTCCTAAGGCTCTTTATAGCTATTTTACCCAATCAGTTCTTTTTTACTTAGGGTAATCTCAAGACAGAACTGCAGTCTGCACACACACAGGCTGAGTAGTGAAGGGCTGATCACGGGAAATGTGCTGAGCTGCACAGACGATCCAGCCTGGGACTTAGCAAAAGCCTCAGAGCCTGAGGTTATTTTGTCGCACATGGGAAATTAAGAGCTTGTGGTGTTCACCAGCATCTTAAATAGAGTCATCTCTACATCCTTTTTGCTAGTGAAAGGAAAAACAGTCAACAAAGAAAAAAGTAATCACCAAGTCATTTTATGGGTCTTCAGCCATACAAAGAGCTGGGATTTCTTTGGGGTCCGGCTTGAGTTGTTCGTCAGCCCAGCGCCTGGAATAATACATATTAGATTTAAAAAAAAAAAAATTCAAGAATGTAGGTAGAGAAAATTGAGAAGTGGCTGTTGTTGTAAATAGATGCTTTAAAATCGTGAAGACCTTCTGGTTGCACATTGGAAATTTTAGTTAAGATTTTAGAGCATGACTTTGGAATGTGCCTGAAAAGCTTACGGGCTGCCATTGGCTGCATGTGACTGCCCTTGAGTCTGCAAGGGCCCTAACTCTTCCTGCCCTGCTTTGCATGCAGTGATTGGGTCGCAGGAAACTGTTGGGGCAAGACTCACTTGAAGTGTTTCCCTTCTACAAATGTACACATTCCGATAAGACTTCCCACTCCTCTCTCCCTGTTCTAAAGTTAGAAATGTCTTTAAGGAAACTATTCTTGAATTTTCGTCACTTTCAATTGCCTTTTCCTTTTGGAATGTCAGATACTAGTTCCTCCTCAACTGATCTGAAAGCTGATCACTATAAATATGTCCAGACGTAGGACCAAGCCACAGGGAAAGAGGACACTGGGGATGTCTCAAGGGCATCAAGCCAGTGCTTTTCACCTTCTCATTTCTTGAAGTTTGCAGCTTAAGGCTCTTTGCTTGGTTTTCTTTTAGTTTTACTCTGAGTATTATAAAGTCAGTTTCACTATATACAAGGTGATAAGCTAGAAGTCCCATGCATTCTCTGGCTGCAAATCACAGTTGTGACTTCAGCGTAAGATATACCCTACCCACTGAGAAGTTACACAAAGTGATTATTTTGAAAGCTTGTGACATTTCCTTTATTCTTTGGAATTCCATGGAATTGAGGATCATTTATCTTTCCACAGTCTCTCTACACTATCACAATGAAAAAAAAAAAAAACAGTTAAAATCAAGAAGCTGCTATGCATCACAAATAAAACCTACATGGGTGCTAAATGAAATTTAAATAATCCACCTGAGCAAGGATAGATTAGATTGAAATTATGCAAAATTAACATCCCTGAACACAGCATAAGGAAATAACAGTCTTGTTTTCAATTGAGGGCTTTCAAAGCCTTCAAGGAAGGGAACTTCTAAGGGACTGGGAATGGAAAATTAAAATTCTGTGCTTTGGATGATTTCTGCCCCCTGATGGATGCATGAAGTAGAGCACCATGCACAGATGCTGGTTAGAAAGTCTAATTTCTCAAAGATGCTATTTGTTTATTCTCTCAAAAACACACCATAGTTCAATTCAGTAAACTTTTTCTGAGAGTCTTGACTTTACTTCAAAGTAAATAACTCCTTTTTTAACCTTAATTTCATTTCTTAGCCAATTGCCTTAGTGTTTTTTAGAAGTAGTAAATTGCCAGGTGCAGTGGCGCATGCCTACAATCCCAGGAACTTCAGAGGCCAAGGTGGGAGGATCACAAGTTAAAGGCCAGCCTCAGTAATTTAGCAAGACTCCTGTCTCAATAAAAAATAAAAAGGATTGAGGATGTAGCTCAGTCATAGAGCACCCCTAGGTTCAGTCCCTAGTACCACCAAAAAAAAAAAAGAAAACAAAGTGGTAAATTAATAGGATATATTGTGAATTTTATATTATGTCAAAACAGTTGCTATTTTTTTATTTTTGTAAAAACTTTTCCCTTTCAGGAAATTTTAATAATTATTCAGAAGGATTTCATTTTATGGAAAGTTTCTGGTTTGCTCAGATGTTATAAAACCTAATGATTAATACTGTATCATGAATGTTCATTCCATACTTAATATTTCTAGAATGGCTATGTGGTTTCACAACAGTTTAGTCATGCGGCATTATCTAAGGAAGTTTCAGTTACTAAGTTCATGACAGAGGACAAGAGAGAATGAAAAATGAGTCTCTGGAAAGTCAAAATAGATGAAAATCCATGGGCAGCAGATTTCACATTTTACTCAAAGACAAGCCCTTAGGCCTTCAATCGGTGCCTATTCTAATAAGCCCAGTTATCTGTTGCCCTATTCCTGGTAAATAAAATGTCAAAGGTTACCAGACTGGCAGTAGTTAATGGTAACTCTGACAGGACTGGGGATATAGCTCAGTGGTAGGGTGCTTGCTTGACATGCGCCAGGCCCCGGGTTCAATCCCCAGCCCTGCAATAAATAAATAATAATAACATTAATTAATACAGTTTCTGAAAATGAGAAAAGTGATAGGAAGCTATAAAGAACAGACCCTGAGAAGAGAATCATCTCTGGATAGTTGCACAGTGACACAATATAGCTTGTCTTCAAAGTAGTAAGTGTGTATGCACTAAATTCATTAGGGAAAGGTTTACATCCTTTAAAATGCTGCTTTTAATTTCTCACTTAAGAAGGGAATTTTAGGTATTTGGAAAATCTACATCACCCGACAATGCCTGTTAAATGAAGCATCGCTGACTTATCTGTTGAATTACAGATAATGCTTTTTTCCTCTTAAGGACAATCCTTGCTCATTAAATGATCCTCCCTTTTCATTCTCTATTATTTTTCTTTCAAGTTGCTTTGAGAAATGGCTTTATTTTCTTGGCTTTGGGGTAATTTTCAGGCTTATTATTGTTGTCTTCTTATTTGTATTTTAAGCTGAATTAAAACATAACAATCTCATAGCGGATACATAGTTAGGAAACCAGGAACAACAGCACCTCCGTGCCTCTTCAGAATACCCAAAAAAGAAAAAAAAATGAGTGTATTTATTAAATAAGAAGACAGCATGTTGAGAAATTCTGACTATATACCTGAATTTACCTTATAGAGATATATCAGGGTTTTTTTTCTTTTCTTTTTTTTGTGATCTGAAGATGACAATAATATGTATCATTTCAGGACCACGGATTGCTTTAATTACTTTCTCTTTATAGAAGAGATGACCAGGTCTAATACTAGCTCAATATACCCCGCACCATACCCACAATGCATGTACACACGCACTCACACACATTTGTGTACACACACACACACACACACATATACACACACACACTGTATATGGGTCTAGTCATGTACACTTCTTTTAAGTATTTATCCAGAATACTCAAAATACTGGCTCAATAATGCTCTGGAAGATCTTAGATGGGTGTACACAAAGGAATATTGTTTCCAGGGTGTGTCAGTAAAATGGAAGATAACTGAGGATTTAGTATTTCCATGACAATTGGGGTTTGTGATCAGAAAGAGCCCCCTTAAGGATGGGGTTCCCAGAGTTCCTTTGAAGCCAGGTGAAGTGATGAATCTGTTTGCATCTCTTCTAAGTGACAGCTCAGTTTTCTTTCTTTTTCCCTTTGAAGACATGACAATGGATGAAGTCCGCGAATTTGAACGAGCCACTCAGGAAGCCACCAACAAGAAAATTGGCGTTTTCCCACCTGCCATTTCTATCTCGAGCATTCCCCTGCTGCCTTCTTCCGTGCGCAGCGCCCCGTCCAGCGCCCCGTCCACCCCTCTCTCCACAGATGCACCAGAATTTCTGTCAGTTCCCAAAGATCGACCCCGGAAAAAGTCAGCTCCAGAAACTCTCACGCTTCCAGACCCTGAGAAAAAAGCCACTCTGAATTTGCCCGGCATGCACTCCTCAGATAAGCCACGTCGGCCCAAGTCAGAGTGACCTCACCCGGAGATCTCATGGGTTTTATATTTTCATTTTGTTGTTGTTGTTGTTGTTTTTTAAGAATCTTCTGATATAGGAAAAGACTGCTTTGTCACTCAAACATGTTCCTTTGATCTCTGAGTGTGCATGGGGTAAAGTAATTTCACAAATAATATGAATCCTAAGTATGCCACACAGCGTCATAGTATATTTAAGATGTAAGACTTGCAAAAAACCAGAAGGGATCTTCTGTAGACACAGCTATAAGTCAGGGAGGAAGCCTTGGTATTGGGCATTTGGTGAGGCTGGCATGGACTTCAAGGGTAAATATATGAAAACTTCATACCACTTTGTTGCCAAGTGTGGTAAAATAGTAAAGTCGATTTCCTCCCATCAGACCTGAAATTCTCAAAAAATACTCTCAGGCATCACAAACCTAATTGTTAAATTTTGAACTGCTGACCACCAATACTTGAATACCAGTAGTTACTGAGATTTTGATTAATCTGACTCAGGATTTGGGGCCGAGTTAACTCCTTAAATTTTTGAAAATTTTAATTACGAACGTATAGAGGCTCCAAGTGCAATTGATGATAACTTATTTATACCTTTCACAGAATTTAATAATAAAGATTCCACTTGTTTCTGCCTTTTAATAACTTTCCCCTTGTGCCCTTGTGGCCTCCGAAATCTTTCAGAATTGCATGAACAAATGTGACTATAACCAATTTATTTTGGAATGGTTTAGTTTAGGAACCAAGAGACCCAGGTGAAACAAGCATCTTTTTTTCTGTACAGGTACCAACAAACCTTGACTTGCCAGCTACCATCATCCATTAAGATTCTCAGAATTTGCAATTAACTGAATAGAATTCATTGACTATTTGCCCATTTGAAGATATCCAAGGGTAGAATAAGCTAACTGGGCTTTAACACTGTTAGAGGTCTGGTATGCAGACCATGAAAAAGGGAATTGTCTCCCATTCCTCTCCTAGTTTTCCTTAGTCATCCAGACATCCCTGGAATGGATCGCCCACCACCAGACCTTAGAAAAGACTGTCATTCTCTTGCTCCTTCCTTAAAATCCAAATTTTGGAGCCTGGGGGTGTAGCTCAGTCATAGAGCACTTGCCTAGCTTGTGGGAGTCCCTGGGTTTGATCCCCAGCACTATAGAAAGAAAGAAAGAAAGATCCAGATATTAGGAATGTTGCAGAAATAAGTAAATACTGCCAAGGAAGAGGAGAGCATGAGCAGAACTGGTGGCTCCTATTTGTAAAAAGAAGGAATGATAGCTGGGCGCAGTAGCATATGCCTGTAATCCCAGCAGCTTGGGAGGCTGAGGCAGGAGGATTGCAAGTTCAAAGCCAGCCTCAGCAAAAGTGAGGTGCTAAGCAACTCAGTGAGACCCTGTCTCTAAATAAAATACAAAATAGGACTTGGGATGTGGCTCAGTGGTCGAGTGCCCCTGAGTTCAATCCCTAGTACCCACTCCCCAAAAAAGAATAAGGAATGATAATAAATGTCCATGAGTCTTGCTTTCATTTCTGCAAGTGGTGTGAATGCAAGATTCGAACAAGATTGACAGGAGGCAAGATCATTCATCAAAGTGGCAGAAAGAATTCTCTTTTTGTCCAAAGAGAAATCTGTCACTGTTGCACCTCACTGCCTTTAAACACAGAAGGGAGGGCAAGCAGAATCTCAGCATTGATATTTGTCCTTCACGAGAGGAAGAAAACAAGGTAACTGGGCAACTCCAGAGCCCACGCCCTAGCTAGCCTTTCTGACCGTCACCTCCAACCTCAGGAAAGGGGCCTTCCCAAAACAGAGATTCCAAAGGAAACAGTGTAGACCAAGGAGCAGATTCTCCTTCCCTCAGCCTCAGTGGTGGCCAGTGCCTGCTTCCCCCACCCCCGCCCCCAGTGCTCAGCACTCCATGTTGTCTTTTGCAGATTGACACCCGCCCCCAAGGTGCAGGCGCTGGACCCATGAGCCCAGCACCATCTTTCTTTATCTATAGTCTGACATTTAGCTTAAAGGAAAATAGACCCAGTACTCAAAGGAAACCAGTCACAAATAGCTTAGATAACAGTGCATCTTTTCCTTAAGAATGATAGTATCATAGTAAGAAAACCTCTTTGCATGGTATGGAAGCATGAATTTTGCTTGTGGGAAAACTTAATCTTTTATCAAACCCCTTGGACTTTTCAATGGCTCCCTCTCCATGCAGTAGTACTTAATAAGAATGTTTGGCTTTAGAAAGCAAAATTCTACTTTCAGAAGACAAGGAGATAGCATATGTATTTGCTTACTGTCTGCGAGCTGAAATCAAGGTAGGGGTGGGATCATTATTTTCACATAGAACAAATTTATTCTGTGCAGGTTGTTAACACATCTGGCACCTAGTTTTTCCATTAATACCATTGCTATTTTCCCTTTTTATAAAGTAGCTTCTGCTGTCAAAGTCAATAATTCAATATGCTTTAGAAAGCTAATTTCTGATTTCCTTTTGTGACCTTTCTTTCTTTTATAGCCAGTATAATACCACAGACATCAATTGCGAAGCTGCCCATGATGGTGTGATTCTTAAGTAACAAAGTGGGTGTGCTCTTAACATACGTTCAGTTTTTCTGTCTACATATGATTTGTGTGCAGTACAAAATGGGGGGTGCAGATATTCCTTTAGCTGCTTTGAATATTTAATCCAGTCATCACATGGCATAAATGACTCAATATTTTACACATCTTGGTTTCCAAGTGTCATTTCACCTTCTCCATATGCGGATTTGTTATTGTGGGATACAAGCCTGCGATTAATGTGTACATAGAACATTAATAATTCTTATAAGGATGGAAATTAAATGGCTGCATGATGGAAATTTAGAAGAAGAAGAAGAAAAAAGCAGAAACTTGAATTTGCTAAGCATGTTTGAGGAAAAATAGAATCCTTAACTCAGTGCCTCTGTCTGCAATGTGGAAACCTTCAACTTTACTCACCAAAATTGTATTATACCTGTATATATATAAATATAGGGTAGTGAGTTCCATACCACCAATTTTAAGTCTCTGGTAGCCAAATGAAAACAAATAATCCATAGGATAACACATATATTCACCCCTCTTCATCTCTGATGTTAGTGGAGACTATGAAAATGGCCGTAAGGTCCATTACTTTGAATGGGTTTCGAGTGTGAAATCTCTGTAGTTTTTGTTGACTATAGCATAGCATTCTTGCCTTGGCTGTGCTTTCCTGGGAGAGAGAGAGGTCTTCTTATTTTTAGTGCATAAACTCTGTCTGAAGTCACCTCTGAAGATCATTTCATTTTAAGCTGTAGAAAGACAAAGCAAAGAAAATGGGTAAGAATGAAGGAGGCTGTGACACTTTTATTTGCCACCATTATCCCTGAAACCATAGGAGTTCATTGGTGAACTCGTTTATAAATGCTTCTGTTACGGTTTTGCATCTATGTGTAGGGGGAATGGTTTTGATTTGTTTGGAGGTATATATTAGCCATGTTTTGGGTTGTGAAAGTAAGTACCAGCCAGTCATGGATGTATAATGAAGACACTTAAACAACCCAACAATACTTCTAAAAGTAAATTGTGTGATTTTATTTCAAAGTAAAATAATGAACTAAGAAAACAGATGCTGACAAATCTTGATAAATCATTTTCAGTAAAAGTTTCAGGATGATTGTTATTTATGAATATTTTTAAATTCTACTTTCTTGCTGGGCTGGGGATGCTGCCCAATGGTAGAGTACTTGCCTAGAGTGTGCAAGGCCCTAGGTTCAATCCCCAGCACTACATAAAAATAACAAATAAATATGGGGCTAGGGCTGGGGCTCAGTGATATAGCGCTTGCCTAGCATGCATGAGGCTCTGGGTTCAATCCTCAGCACCACATAAAAGTAAATAAATAAAAATAAAGACATATGTCCACCTACTTTTAAATAAATAAATAAATTCTTTCTTTAGTTTTTCCCCCTGGCTTAGAAACAACAAAATAATAGGTCACTGAGTGGCTTAGGTCAATAGGAATTTTATGTTTGAGAAGAGCCAAAGTGTAACTGACTCTGTATCAAATGTATAATCTGATAATTCAAATAGAGAGGAATTGTCTAAATGGTTTTAGTACTTTTCTGATCATCTGACAGTCTAGGTGACAATCTGCCATCTGAGACATAGTTCTTAAAAAAGATTGCTGTCCAATGACTGCAACCTGATCATCAGTAAACTTTTAAACTGTTCATTCTTGCTAAAACTCACATAGCACACAGTAGCACACAGAATTGGCATGCCAAGGCAAAACATACTGGCTTCTACCTTCAAAACAATCTGTTTGTATCTGAAATGTGTTTAAGCTTTGTAGGAGTTAGTGCAGTAACAGAATGTGGTATGTTGAGTTTCTCAGATGCCATTATTAATTGTAATGTTGTTGTGAAGTTAACAAATGCTTTAGGATAAGCCTCTCGATGTGTCTGCCTGTTTCAGTTGAAATTAGGTCTGTTGGATTGGCCATCTCGCTTCAGTTCTTTGTATCTCTAGGAAGAGGTTCTCTGAGTTTATGTTATCCTGTGCCACTTGTGTAGCTTCAAGTGTAATTTTTAGTGCTTACATTCTGAGCTGGGATCCTGATTGGTTACATTAGTCAAAATACCACTGCCACTGCCGAAGGACCAAGTGTTACAGGTGACAAGCAAAGCAATCGGAAGTTGACACTCACATGTGCCATCCTGTGTCGTCTTATGGCTGTACGGTGTCATCCCCCTCCCCAGTTATTTATTATTGTTTATAACTTACTTTTTCTTACATTCTGTTGTAAATAAAGTAAAAAGCAATCTTCTTTCCAAGTGTAGCTTCCGCGCTCTGTTTCTCAGCTGGCATCAAGGGAATGTTGGCCCTTAACTTGCAGGTTGATGGGAAAGAAGACATGGAGGAAGAGGGGACAAGCCTGTGGCTGCTGCTTAGACCCAGTCCTAGAGCTCAGGTACCAGGGAGCCTTGGACCCTGGGTGGGAGGAGCCTGGGTGTCTGCTCTCATTGTCCAGCCAAAATTAGTACCCACGGTGGGTCTGCGGCCCAGTGGGACACACACACACACACACACACACACACACACGTCCATCCATCTAGCAAGCACTT